TAGCTCGACGAAGGTGAAGATCGTGGCTCCTCCCGAGCGCAAATACTCTGTGTGGATTGGTGGATCGATTCTTGCATCACTCTCTACTTTCCATCAGATGTGGATCTCAAAGCAAGAATACGACGAAAGTGGACCAGAAATTGTACACCGTAAATGTTCCTAGATGGTATTTATTTGTTTGTATATTTGTTTTATCTTTGCACATACTTTCTGGTTTTTACTAGAAATTTTTATAACAACTCTTGTCGCTTGTTATATTTTCATTTTACACGCATCCTCATTTTTATGCTTCTTATTAGGTATATTTCTAATGTTTAACAGTGCAATAAACTTTGTAACAGCAAAAAACCAGCTTTGGCTATAAACCGCACAATGGCTTTCGTCTTTTTAATGGCATTATTACATGTTGAAGAACCTTCGTGCACAGCGCATGTAAATTTCTATAAGGCCTTTCTCATACCGTATTAGGTTCCCAGACAACAGATCACCAAGCAATTTTTTTTTGCGCGTTTTCCTTTTAGACTCGTTATTTTTTTCATTAACTTGTTTACTTTCAGTTTCTTACAATGTCAACTGGGTGTGATGGCCAAATGACATTTGCACGGGTTATTCGACGCAGAATTTTACGCTGATTTCGAATCTGCTTTTCGTTTCTGCCATGGAGCACTCTGTCAAAAGTTATAAGCGTGCAGAGTTTTGTATGGGATTTCAAAAAACAAGTCGTGAGTTCATAAGCAGATCCCCAGGCACTGGAAAGTGTCCTGGTGGCAGAGTGGCAGTGAGTTAGAATACTAGAATACAAGGGCTCTTGAGTTCGAGTCCGCAGTTCAACATTTTTTTGGGCTTTGCAAAGATCCCGTCCTTGAGCTTCTCTATCACATCAGTTGCCAAAAGCTCTCAGATTTTCTTCAATTGAAAAAGCCTGGTAACCTTTAATTGTTGGTTTCTCTCTTAGATACGGGGTCGATTCAAACGGCTTCGGTCTTTATCCAACGGTATTTGGAAGTCATGCTGGTCGAAGGTCTGGCTCCTTTCTGACATGAACGATAATGGGTTATTGCCGCTTGAAGTTCGTTTGACGGTACGAGCATTCTATCAAAATTGACTCGAAATCAGCTGAAGTTGTTGGTTCTAGTGAAGTGTCATCTCCGTCCCATTCATCTCCGCCTGTGTGCGTGTCGTTTTCTTCTCCGTGCTTCTCAATGAACAGATCTGGCATCGTTAATAATCCATACAAAAGAATTCGCCAATTTTTGTTCTTTTCGATTCGGATCTCTTTGTGCCGAAGATGAGCGAAATTAGTAAATCGAAACTCGAAATTGTTTATTTTTACGAAGCTATGAATCTAGCGAGACTGAAATGGAAACTCCTTTGCAAAGCTTCTTATAAAATTGAGCTTATGACTCTATACACCGCGGGGCTTTGATCGTTCTACCTAAACTAAAAGGAAAGTTTCCCAAATTTGTATTTAAAAGATCAACATTATGTACGATTGTGCGCGCGTACAAAGAACATCTAAATTATTCAAATCTAATAAAAGCAAAAGAAAAAGTTTAACTGCGGACTCGAACTCAAGAGCCCTTGTCCCGTATTCAAGACCACTTCCACTCGGCCACCACGAGACTTTCTACTGCCTGGGAAATCTGCCTATGAACTCACGATTTGGCCACCACACCCGGTTGACACTCCCTTGTAAGTCGCCTAAAGCCTTTACCGACCCGGTAAAAGCTTTTTACTGATTTGGAATCGAACTATTACCGACTTTCGGGCTTTCGAGCTCCGAGAACCCCAATTTATACCACCTCTGCTCCCAATCAGTTTATTATTTAAAGAGGAAATTGACCGACGAGAACTTTAACGGAATACGATTTAGAATTTGAGCATGTTGACTGAATATTTTTAAATTTTCCGCTAATAAAAGAACTTTTCCCACTACACATTGGCGGATGGGGCCCTTCAATTAGGGGTAAGACGGTAGCATCATTTTACTACGAACTTTGTTAAAAACCTCAGGGTAGGCTAATTTCCGTCATTTTATTTGCGCAACTCGTCATTACTTTCTTCTAAGTGGGCCAATCATTATGATTTTGATTTCATTTTGTTGCACTTGTTGAGATCTACAAAATGAAATCAAAATCATAAAGATTGGCCCACTTAGAAGAAAGTTATGACGAGTTGCGCAAGTGACCCTGTTGCGCAAATAAAATGGCCGAAGTTAGCCTACCCCAAAAACCTCACAAAAAGATGGATTTGTATAAAGGTTTAGGTATCACCTTTCATCTGAATAAAAAGATTCAGTTAAATAATTGAAATTCATTTCATTTGTTGAGCTCATTCCGCGGTAAAATTTTTCATTTCATTTTCACCAAATCATTTCGCTTTCTCGATTGCCTTCAGGCTACCATTTTTTGAGAAATTGAAGGCGTTAAAGTTTAAAGTTGATTGCATACCATCTTAGTTTGGCCTTTATCGCAATTTCTGTCCCCTTAAACCGATGTTTTGGGTGTAATTAGCTTTTGTTTGAGGTATTGTGTGCTTTTGTCCAAAATTTATTACAAAGCGCCTGAGTTTGAAGTTTATTCTAGCTGTCATTCTATTGAAACTGAAAAGTCTAAATCCACTAATTTGCCTCTAGTTCGACTTTTTCTTGAGAAATTGAGTGTGTTTAGTTTAAAATTGATCACGAAGAGCCCGTATTGCACTTTTCACCTAGCTGGCGTTCTATTGAACCTCTAGCAAGCACTTGGTTCAGATGTTTTGGCTTTTCATATCCCATCTCTTTGTTGCGCCAACTTATCCCACTGTGACCTTCCACACTGATCGTTCTTGGCCTTGTTTTGAAGTTAAACACCTTCAATTTCTTCTTTTTTTATTCGATTCTGATCCAAATAGCGCTTAATTTTAGCTTTTTCCAGAAATTGCAACTGCTCAACACGAATTGGACAAATGTGCGACGAAGAAGTAGCAGCGCTTGTGGTCGACAATGGATCCGGAATGTGCAAGGTAAATTTAGTTTTAGTTAGATCTAACTAGACATGGAACATTTTGCATCTTTTGGTTTTACGGACATGCTAACTAACGTTGGTTAAAGAGGGTGAACTTTACAAAACGAATTTCATTCTTTAGGCCGGCTTTGCTGGTGATGACGCTCCACGAGCAGTCTTCCCGTCGATCGTTGGGCGTCCCCGTCATCAAGGCGTTATGGTTGGAATGGGGCAGAAGGACTCCTACGTCGGTGACGAGGCTCAATCCAAGAGAGGCATCTTGACGCTCAAATACCCAATTGAGCATGGTGAGGGTTATTTTGAAGTAACTAGAAGTGATGGCCTAATTAACTTTCTTCGTTTTAGGAATCGTGACCAACTGGGATGACATGGAGAAGATCTGGCATCACACATTCTACAATGAGCTTCGCGTCGCTCCAGAAGAACACCCAGTGCTTCTCACCGAGGCTCCACTCAATCCAAAGGCCAACCGCGAGAAGATGACTCAAATCATCTTTGAGACGTTCAACGCGCCCGCGATGTATGTCTCGATTCAAGCCGTGCTCTCGCTTTACGCTTCTGGACGTACGACTGGTAAGCATTCATGGTTTTGCTCACTTAAACATTTGACTTAGGTATTGTGCTCGATTCGGGTGATGGTGTCAGCCACACGGTTCCAATCTACGAGGGATATGCTTTGCCACATGCAATTCTGCGCTTGGATCTTGCCGGTCGTGATCTCACCGATTATCTCATGAAGGTAGTTGATTAATGCTAGCGTTAAGAAATCTTTCTTTTTAGATTCTCACTGAACGCGGTTACTCATTCTCCACCACGGCTGAGCGCGAGATTGTGCGAGACATCAAGGAGAAACTTTGCTACGTCGCTTTGGACTTTGAGCAAGAGATGTCAACTGCTGCTTCGTCGTCAAGCCTTGAGAAGACCTACGAATTGCCTGATGGACAGCTCATCACCATTGGAAACGAGCGATTCCGTTGTCCTGAAGCTCTCTTCCAGGTGTGCTCATTATTGTTCTTCAATACTGATTCTTAATGTTTAGCCATCTTTCTTGGGCATGGAATCGGCGGGAATCCACGAGACTTGCTACAACTCGATCATGAAATGCGACATCGATATCCGCAAGGATCTCTACGCAAACAACGTCTTATCTGGAGGAACCACCATGTACAGTGGAATCGCGGATCGCATGCAAAAGGAGATCCAGGGCTTGGCTCCAAGGTAAGGAATTATTCGTTACGTTATAATATTAATTTTTTTGTTTTTTAGCTCGATGAAGGTGAAGATCGTGGCTCCTCCCGAGCGCAAGTACTCTGTGTGGATTGGTGGATCGATTCTTGCATCACTCTCTACTTTCCAACAGATGTGGATCTCAAAGCAAGAATACGACGAAAGTGGACCAAGCATCGTTCATCGCAAATGTTTCTAAATTCACATGCCTCGCTTGTGAATTTTTCTAAATGGCTGTTTATCCCGTTTTGTATGTTCACCTTTGCGTGTCCTTGTAATATTTTCTTCGCTTTGAAATAATCATCTGTTTAGTAGTGCAATAAACGTTTGTATCGTTTAGTAAATTGGGAAATGCGCTGTTTAAACGAGTGCTGGATACTGTTGTATCTTTAAAAAATTGAGCATTGAATTTCCACAAAGTTGCCGTTCAATTTCTTTCGCAGCTAGTCGAGACCAAGTAGAAATTTGAGCGAACGACGTGACACTCCAATTGACATCGGTATAAAATGCCATCCTTGCTAGTCTTAAATCACTATTTATTAGAAGGTTGGAGACTTTTGTTGAAGTGGGAAGTTTTACGGTACTAATACTCCATCACTTTTTACTTGGCAGTCGCGGTAACGGTGTTGGCAAACTTTTGCATTGAAATCAAATTAGGTATTTAGTTAACGTATCATACCCACTTTTGGCCTTTTTACGCAATTGAGCTTTGTTTTCATCAGATTTCAAATCTTTCAAGGAGTTTTAAATAATGTTTTTGCATTTCAGATGGGCCAGCAACAATCAGGTGGTGGACGTCGTGGAGACAACGATCGTGGCGGCGGTGATGCTGACAAGGAAAAGAAGAAAAAGTGAGGAGATTTTGTTATCGTATGGCAGCTAATGTAAAATTACCTCATTGTTCTTGCTTAGGTACGAAGCTCCGATCCCATCGAGAATCGGCCGTAGGAAGAAGGCAAGCAAGGGACCTGATGCAGCCAACAAATTGCCCACGGGTAAAATATTTATTTCCAAACTATCAATTTTTTTTCTTTAGTAACCCCGCATGCTCGATGCCGGCTGAAGACGCTAAAAATGGAGCGAATCAAAGATTATCTGTTGATGGAGCAAGAATTCATCCAAAATCAGGAGCGCCTCAAGCCACAAGAAGAGCGCCAAGAGGAAGAACGTACAAAGGTACGGTTGAAGTGATCCAAACCGAAAGAGTGACTGTATTTTAGGTAGACGAGCTTCGTGGAACGCCAATGGCCGTCGGGTCGCTTGAGGAGATTATTGATGATCAGCATGCTATCGTGTCGACGGTATGTGTTGGATAAGTTGTGTCCCGAAACGGTTATTTTCAGAACGTTGGTAGCGAGCACTACGTAAACATCATGTCTTTTGTGGACAAGGAGCAACTCGAACCGGGCTGTTCGGTGCTTCTCAATCATAAAACGCACGCGGTCGTCGGTGTGCTTTCTGATGATACCGATCCGATGGTCTCGGTGATGAAACTTGAGAAAGCCCCGCAGGTTTGAAACATTTTTTTGCTTTCCACAGATCTTATTTTTTAGGAAACTTATGCCGATGTTGGAGGACTCGATCAGCAAATCCAAGAGATCAAGGAGGCCGTCGAACTGCCATTGACCCACCCCGAGTACTATGAGGAGATGGGAATTAAACCACCAAAGGGTTTGCCAATCTTTGCAATTCAATTCAACCTTTTTTGTTTAGGTGTGATTCTCTATGGAAGTCCTGGAACGGGTAAAACTCTGTTGGCAAAGGCGGTCGCTAATCAGACTTCGGCTACATTTTTGCGTATTGTTGGGTAAGTTATCGCAAAGATAAAATTTAAATTCTCTAATTTTAGATCTGAACTGATCCAGAAGTACCTGGGAGATGGTCCAAAGATGGTTCGCGAGTTGTTCCGTGTGGCCGAAGAGCATGCTCCATCGATCGTGTTCATCGATGAGATCGGTGAGATTTTAATTGAATATTAGGATTTAATGTTAAAATATGGGACATGCATAACTTTTACTTGTCGATTATATCTTTATGATCTTCTTTTATGCATCAATAAACACTTTTAGATTGACCCATGATACGTTTTTGTCGTTTCGGTACCTGCTCCTAAGAATAGCTAGTTTCTTTGTGATTCGTGAATGTGAACATTCTTTGATAAAACAAGATGTTGTATGGCATAGATTGTTTATTGTCTATTTTACTATCGAGTACATTTTAATTTAGATGCGGTTGGCACAAAGCGCTACGATTCGAATTCGGGTGGAGAGCGGGAGATTCAACGCACTATGCTCGAGTTGCTCAATCAATTGGACGGATTCGATTCGCGTGGAGATGTCAAGGTTGGATTTAACCTTTATTCGGCTAAATTGTACTTTATGGTCTAGCTTCCGATCTCAATGAAACCTATTTTATTTTACTTCCAGCTCAGTGATGCCGAAAAAGCTAAAACTAAATGTTGGAAACGTTTTAGAAAAAAGTTATGGTCAAAACACTGGCGGACCATAAAGTGTCATGTATGGGTTTATGGTCCAGTGAGCAAAACGGCTCAGAATAAATCAAGAATACCTTTAAACGATGCGCGTAATTTATTTTTAGTTGACGAAGCCCCCGTATGCAACTAAAACTAATTTATAAACACCGATCATAGGCAAACTCTAAAGAAAAAACTGTAGAAAACGTTTAGAAAACACTTTAGAACAAAAACAAGAACAAAAATCGGTAGGTATATCGCAAATCAATTCATTTGTAGCCGGAATAAACCCCATGTTCGTAATTCTTCCAACCATAGTTCATTTTGAACGGAAAGACGAATTAAGTCCGAAACCCTCATTGTTGAAAATATGAAATTTTACTCACAGTCTTCTTCCCCTTAATCGAATGTCCGAAAAAATTTCCCATGCAAATTACAAAAAACCAGCGGAGGCCATAAAGTACAACCCATACATGATACTTTAAGGTTCGGCAGTGTTTTGGCTATAACTTTTTTCTAAAACGTTTCCGACATTTATTTTTAGCTTTTTCGGCATTAGTGAGCTGTTGGGAACAAAGTCAGAACCTCGGACAAAGTTTTGACTCTGGACCGTAAAGTACAATTTTTAGCCCTTTATTCTTAACTATTCATTGAGATCTGAGGACGACCAAGAACTCTATTTGAAGTTTAAGTTTAGAGTTTAAAAAGCGAAAGAAAGGGTTTAAACTCTTACTATGTTTCTTTTCAGGTGCTGATGGCTACGAATCGCATCGAATCTCTTGATCCGGCTCTCATTCGCCCTGGACGTATCGATCGCAAAATTGAGTTCCCGCTTCCCGATGAGAAGACCAAAAGACGCATCTTCCAAGTATTTTTAGTGTGTTGTTCTTTAAAACGCTTATTTTTAGATCCACACTTCTCGCATGACTTTGTGCAACGATGTGAACCTCGAGGAGTTTATAACTGCTAAAGACGAACTATCTGGAGCTGATATTAAGGTACTAGAATTAAATTCTGTATTGCAATATTGTTTTAGGCAATGTGCACCGAGGCGGGTCTGTTGGCGCTTCGTGAACGGTGAGTTATCTTTTTCATTGATGATAAATTTGAGTATTTTAGCCGGATGCGCGTGACGATGGACGACTTTCAGAAAGCCAAAGAGAACGTGCTCTACCGAAAGAAAGAAGGTGCTCCAGAGGCACTCTATCTCTAGAAAAATTCGTGTTTTTTTAATTTGGCTTGTGATCGTTTGGTGATTTCTTGTAATTTATTTCACACTTGCTATTCGATATTTGTTTCATTGATGTTTTAAATGGTGTTAAAAGCTGTGTTTTTTTGTAAGAGCATTTTGTGGCTCTAATTACACGAATAAATGCTTTCAATTCGTTGTTCAACAAAAACCCGGGAAGTTGTAAGCAAATTTTATCAGACAAAGTTGCAATTTTACATTTATCTGGCGTAACAGTATTCGGCCGAATCTTTGATAAAAAATTTTTGTCAAGGATGACTATGAAAGCTCGGGAACTATATCGTAAAAAGTGGAAACTTTCGTCCTTTAATTATTGTAGAAATTTATTAGAACCAGCTAAAAAAGGCGTTTTCAGTTTTGTGACATGTGACAAAATCTCATTGACCTAAAAAAACTATTTCTGAATGTAGTCTTAATCAATCTTTTTGTATTGCTTTCCAAGAACTAATATTTTCATTGTTTACAGGTACCCGATGGAGCACGACGATTCGGGTGATGATGTTGGCCCACATCGCCCCGCTCGACGACGCCACGATCCATCGGATGATGAGGAAGAGGATTGTGAGGAGATTCGCCTTCGAGTGATCATTTCACCGCAAGAAGAAGGGGTTCGCCTATATGCGACAAATCATCCACATCGAAAGAAAGAGCTCTTCTCGCGGAAATTTCATTCGGCGTGCCGATTCAAGCAGAATGTCGGGTTGCTAGAGGTGAGCAGACAATTTAATTGGGTATATCTTGGAAAATGTTTTGAGAGGCAATATTCAGATCAATGAGCTTAATGAAAGTACTAGTTAATACTAAATCAATTTAATTTTATGAGAAAATATTAATTTTTGATTTTAGGTCCGTGTCGGCGTCGATCAGCACTCCGGCTGCTTCGACAAGACAAAATGCGCCCTCGAGGGCACGGTGGAAACGGGAAAAGGAAAGAAAAAGAGCATGATGCTCGCACCGGAAACGATGTCACAAGAAGTGTTTGAGGGGAAAATCTACAAGTCGATGGGCCCTCTCAACTACGCAATCTGCAAAATTCAAAATGGCAATTGCTATTTGACGCCGATTGATGGATTACTTTCGCTCGGCCGTTCAATGGATCATATGAACGCGAAAAAGGTGGTGGATAAGGATTTTGAGGATGAGAGCTCGGCGGCTGATTCAGATGCAGATCAAGCCCAGCCGGTGAGGGTGAAGTTTGCAAGACCGGAAACGGATCGACAAAAGAAGCGACGTGAGGCATCGGCTTTCCATCGCGAGAAACAAATCCAACAGGACGTGTGGGTTCCGCTCGAGGTGCACAACGCACTGGAGGATCAATTGAGTCCAAAGATGCGCAACTTGCTTGCCTTTCCCCATGTACCTTTGCTGGAAAATGGACAAGCGCATGAGATCAAACGGTTCGGGGAAATGGTCTCGCAAACAATTCTCCGAAAATCCCTGGAAAAGATCGATTTGTCGAAGTGCAAAGAAACTGAGCTGGTGATTCGACGCTTACGCGAATCTTTGCCTTTCCGGTTGCAAGTGAAAGCAATTCTGATGAAAGCTTTTGTTGTCTCGCACCAAACTTTGAGGGAAATTTTCAAGGAGTACACACAGGAGGAGATTCTCGAGGTGACCAAAGAATCGGCGAGCTTGATTCAGGGAAATTGGGTGTTAAACAGTGAAGAGTTATTCACGTGGAAACCCACCGACAATCCGACGAAACGAAAGGTTTACACACAACAAAGAATGGAGATTTGGCGACGAGTCAGGGATTTTGCTTTGTACTTTTTGGAGAGTGGAGAGACGTTGACGAGAGGCGATTTGGTGGACCTTTTCCAGCTGCAGTTGACCGATTTGGATCAAATCGTAGCCACTTTCGGGGTCTTCGACACGGAAAAGCGAATGATTCGGCTGAAATTGGCGGAAAGTCGAGAAATCTACGAAGAGCCGGACGTTTTGCCGATTCTCACCGATCAGAAGCGACGCTTCAATGAGCGAATCGCGGAAATTCTACGGACTTTGAAACATTGAAAAGTATTTTGTTAGTAAATTTGGTTGTTTCACTTGTTTAGTGATGGTTGTTTCTTGTTGACATGTTTTTTTTGTTGTTGTTGCTTTTGAAAATGAAATAAACTTAAAATTTCAGCGATGGTCAAGCGAAGAGTCGAGCTTGATGATGCGGGTGATGCGCTGAAAGAGAAGGATTCGGTGAAGAAACGGAAAGGTTTGTTGTTGAGTGTTTATTTCAATTTAAATCAATTCGTTTAGTTGATGAACCGCTGGTGGAGACAAAGAAAAAGAAAAAGAGGCGAAATAAGAAGAATCAGGACAAAAGCAAAGTAAATTTCTAAATGAGTATCCAGATTTTAAGCACGGATCTGTTTGCATTTGTAAAACTTGCTTTAGAAAGTTGTTTTCTTCAACGTTTTAACAAATCCTGATACTTCACTGAACCAGCGGAACTTTAGCTTTCAATGTCGAAATAGTTTAGGTCCTTACCAACGGCTCTGCACCAAAAGTCTCGCCGAAGAAAGAGAAGAAAATCGACCCATGGGTGACGATTGAAGCGGGAACGGCAAAAGCTGCTGGTATCTTTTGGCTTCGTTAATGCAAATGTTCAAACTTTAGCCACTTTGCGAGTGAACGGAAAGGGTGAAGACGTGAAGGGAATCAACGGAAGCTCAGAAGAAAAGAAACAACGAGAGCAGGTACTTTGAGTAGGAGTTTCATTGAGTGACCTCTTTTTCAGAAAAAAAAGAAGCGTCGTGGATGTGATGGAAGCGAGGGAAATGTGGATCGGCCCGTGCAAAGCTTTGAGCGAAAGGTTGGCTTTGTGAAATGAACAATACCTTCCTAAGCTTTGCTTAAACTGTAAGCTTTAGCCGAAGAATACCGAGGATGACGATGACATTTTGGTTCTGAATGCTAGCAACACAAAGAGATCTCGCGAGGTATGCGATTTGTGTTTTTAAACGCTAAATAACTAAATTTAGGTCATCATTGAAGAGGTTGTCGACTCACAGACGGATGGTTGGTCGTTTTTTTGAATATTGAAAGCTTTTGTGTTTAGGTGTCTCGATCAAGAAACTGTCGCGCAAGAAAAGCTACACAATGGAAGAAGGCGTTGACTATATTGTCGAAGAACCTGATGACAATATTGAAGGAGGAAAAACACCGGATTCGCCGAAGACCAATGGTGAGTTTGAGTATCAAAACAACATGCATCAAAATTCAAGGTGATTTGTATGTATCTGATGAGGACTCGGACTACATTGAAAGCGAAGATAATGAGGAAGACGAGGAGGAGAGTGATGAGGAAGAGGCCGAGATTGACCGATTGCCTTTCTGTAAGTTAAGTGAAGTAAATAAAGTAATTTTTCATTTAGACAATGGTCACATCCAAGTCACCGGTGATGATGAAGACGATGAGGACGAGGAGGCTTCGGATCAAAATGAATACCTGGACAACGAGGCCGTGGAAATGATTGACTATCACGAAAGTGATGAGGATGAAGGTAAATTTTAAATTTCAGGCAGTTTAAAAACCCAAATGTCGCTCACTTTTTGACTAAGACTGACCAGGCCTCGATTTTGGTGGTCTTTCAGGAAAAAAAGTTCAAATTTCTGGGTTTGCTTTGGCTTTATTTGAGAAAATTTACTCCAGGAACAACCCTGACCATAATAAACTGCTTTTTTTAGATGAAGAAGAGCCTTCGGGTGAATCACTTGATGGAGAAAGTCTGGTAGATGAGGACATCGACGATGAAGATGATGTGGACTTTGAATTGGAAGAAGAGGGAGAAGAACTCGAGGATGAAATTGTCGGAGAGGATTCGGGTACAAGTTTATATACGACATACCAAAAAAAACTTTAATATAACAGCTTAATACAAAATTTGCCTAAAGATAAGTTGCAAAGTGCTGAGTAGAGTAAGAAATAGCATTGCTCTTTAGTCTCATTACTGTTAACTCCAACCTTGTACAATCATTTCGTTCAGATGCCGAAAGTGTCATTTCTGGGGAGAGCCTTGAGGTGGCTTTTGAACACGATCGGAAAGCTGGACAGGTAAACTTGTTGCATAGGAAAAGCTAAATAATAATTTCTAGATTGATACGCGCACAAATGGCAAGAAAGGGCAAGAGAAAGAGGTGCCGATCGATTTCTCCAAATTGCCTTTCAACACCAGCGACGATTCGACGGTGGCCGCCACTCGAGCTCTCGGATGGATTCTCAGCAACTGCGGGGTGCAGTCGTTCTTTGAGTAAGTGCAAACGTTCATCTTATTAGAAGAAGTAAACGGAAGAATTACTTGTCTACTTGAGTAAATACGAGCAAATAAAACATGGAATAAGCAAAGTTTATTCTCTATTCTGCCTAAGATAAAGTTTCTTTCAATCTGTGGCACGTTAAGCTGCATTTTAGACTCAAAAACTCTGCAAAACCATAACTTTTTATCTTTAGTGAGTTCTGGCAACAAAACGCGCTCGTCGTGCACCGACACAACAAGAACTATTACGGGAATTTGCTGAATGTGAAAGAATTTGGACAAGTAATCGCAAAGGTTTTGGGTTTTCTTTCTAAATTTGGCTATTTTTTATTCAGGAACACGTTGAGTACGGAAAGAACATCAACATCGCTGAGTATCGCGAAGGTTTACGGTACACGTTGAATGGACAGGGACGAGTTTATCCGCGACACTTGCAGAATCATTTGATCGTGGGTTTTTGGGCAAAATTGCTAAATTTTGGGAAGATATAAAATTAAATCTGTAATAAACTCATTTTTTTGTTTTCAGGAAGGTCGATCCATTCAACTGGTGAACCCGCAGCGCTTCTTTCCGCGTATTTGGTACCTCTGCGAGATTCTTCAAGAGCTTTTTGGATGTTTTGTTGGAGCGAACACGTAGGGGATCGTTTTATTGGTGGATTAAGTATAAACTTTAGATATTTGACCCCGGCCGGCTCATCCGGATTTGCGCCACATTGGGATGAGATCGGTTCGTTCGTTAAGGTTTTATTAACCAATAGATTTTAGACGCTTTCTTGTTGCAATTGGAGGGACGGAAATATTGGAAAGTTTATGCGCCGGACAGCGTCGAGAATGAGTTGCCAAGGGAAAGCTCGGGTTGGTAAATCAGTTGAAGATCTCATGAGTATCTTCTTTTCCTTTTTCAGGAAACTTCACTGACAAGGACTTTGTCGGCCGCCAACCGTGCTTTGAGGGCTGGATTGAGCAGGGCGACATGCTGTACCTTCCACGCGGTTTCATTCATCAGGTTGGGGAAAGTTTTTGAAATGATTTTTTGATGATCATTTTAGGCTTCAACTTGCAAGCAAACGCATTCGTTTCATGTGACGATCTCCGTCGGTCGCCACCATTCTTTCGCGGACATGCTGGAGAAACTGATGCCTATTGCGTTAACACAATTGGGAGATAAAAGGGTGAAGTGGGTTGTCGAAATTCGTGGGCAGTTTTAATTTTTATTTTCAGACTTCGTCAAGGACTTCCGCCTGGCTATTTGGATATGACCGGTATTGCCGAATTGGACTACAAAAATGAGGAACATGAGGATGAAAAGTGGGTTTTTGAAAGAGAAACCAATTTAACTCTAAATTCAGACTAACAATTCCGATGGCCGGTCACATGTCGGCTCTTAATCGAAGCGTTCGTCAAGCAGTACCCTTTGCCGTCGATTTCATGGCCAGGGAATTCATGAAGACTGCACTTCCGCCAATGCTCACTCCTGGTAAAGATTTGGAGTAGATTTAGAATAAAATTATTATAAGTCATACTGTAATTAAAGCAAGTCGCCAAACCGGTGGAGTTAGCCTAAAATAGTTTTTCTTGCGAAATTTAAAGTCATTCGTTTAGATGAAAGGCGCCTATCGGCTTTCGGTGATGTGGACATTTTAAAGGGAAAACGCGTGATTTTCTCCGATCAATCCGAGGTTCGACTCATTCGGCGACATGCACAACGGTAACTGTTTGCATTTTATGTTCATTTCACCTCGTATTCAGAATGATTTTCGAGTCGCCGGAATCATGCTTCATCGTGCATCGAATGACGAACTCACTTGATTACGAGGAACGCCCGGAGCAGCTTTTCGCTTTTCCGTTCAAGGTAGGGAATTGATTAGGGTTATTCTAAAAGCAAGACATAGTCAAGCAAAGTCAAAATCTTGGCTGGTCAGGGTTTCAGGATGGATTTACTCTGAATAAAGCCGTGCTCAAAGATGGCAGTATCTGTGTTTAACCTATTAAATGGCTGTTTTCTTCAATTTTAAAATTACAATTCCTTTAGTTGATCGACGATTTTTGCCAACTCCAGAGCGCCTACCCGGAATGGACGAAACTTGGCGAGATCAGGACATCGAAGGAAAACAAGAAAGGAAACAAGACGGTCAACAAAAATGTGCTCGAATTAGCTCGCCTTCTCTACGATAATGGACTTCTGATGGTTAAAGAATGAGGAAATCGTTTACTTATTCATTTTGTTTTATTCTGGTTAGCCTTTCTTGAAATAGTTGTTATGTTTGTTGTTGTTTTGTTGCGGTTGATGTTACGCTTATTTTCTATAAAATCTCCAGTAAAATCGATGGTATAATGAAAATTTTTAATCATTTTAATCATAACTATCATTTCAAAATGACGCTTACTTAAGTTTTTATTATCAAAGGCTATTTGCAATCCGTTTTCCACCAATCGCTCACCGCCGTATCGTAGTAGTGCGTGTGGTCCTGGAAATGGGTAAATCTGAATTGTTTGATTGCTAAAATTGCAATAATCCCACCAAAAATACTCACATCGAATTGCCACATGATCTTGCTGTTCGCGCATTGACCGATCAAATCACCATAGGGGCAAATTGTGTAGTTGGCGGTAGTCATCGCATTGTCGTACCTGGGAAAGGCTTTTGGTCCACAAATTTGATATTTGATCACGGTTTTGGTATCACAAATCTTACTCTCACAAAAAGCTGGCCTCAAAATTTCAATTCTCCTATTGATAGTATTCACTCTTGATAGTCCTCTTCATCCTTCTTTCCAATCCGCCAAGTGAATGCCCGACGATCTAGAAGATTTTTTTGGAAAAGAACACTTCGGTACTTCGGTGATCCTGGAACGCACAGCACTCTTGGACATAGTTTCTGTTTGAAAAAATCGGCTTTTAAAAGTCAGCACGGTCACCCCCGAAATTGTTCAAGCTCAAATTTAGCCAAAATTTGCATCTCTACGTGCAATCGGCTAGCGGAAACGCCAAATTGGAACTCACTTTAGAAAATGGGCTTAAAAAGTGAGCGGGATATGATTGATGGAAATTTGGGATACGTTAACGTATCCACTGTTTAAGGTGAAAGTCGAATTCGACGGATTCGACCAAATTAGCTATCGTATCCCCGAAATTGGAGCGCATTTTAGAAAAGTGCGCTCAAGAAAGCACTCACATAGACATCGTACGTTGGGTAGACTTTTCTCAGCGTCATCACTTCCGCCTTTGAAGTTTTCGTTTTTCGCAAAAAACGGATCCACGAGCTTAAAAGGAATTTCTCGCCGTCTAAAGGAACCAACCAAATGGTGTAGATTATCCAAAATCGATCACTATCCAAAACCAAATGTAGACATTTTTATGATGATACGAAAAAGGCTTTGGGGCTCTTTTTTTGTCTCGAAAATTTCCCCAAAGAAGACGACATTGATTAAGCTGAAAAATCAGTACGATAAGTATATAATTACGAATTTACACATTTGAATTTTTAAAGTTTTGAAGTTTTGAAGTTTTAAAAGGTGAAAAAGTGATTTCATTGATCTTATGACTTTATGAACTATTTTGGAAATAATTTTTTGTGTTTCCATAAAAAATTCAGCATTTCAGAAACCGAGTCATTTATCAGTACCCTTATCGGAATCATGCTTTATCGTGCATCGAATGACGAACTCGCTTGATTACGAGGAACGCCCGGAGCAGCTTTTCGCTTTTCCGTTCAAGGTAGGGAATTGATTAGGGTTTTTCTAAAAGCAAGACATAGCCAAGCAAAGTCAAAATCTTGGCTGGTCAGGGTTTCAGGATGGATTTACTCTGAATAAAGCCGATAAGTATAGTTTACGGATTTACACATTTTGTGCAGTGTCGTGCGAGAATACCGATAGGGGCGTTGATTATTAGATATTTATTCTGAATCTAGCAAGAAAATACAATAAAATAGGATTAATCGTTGGCGCAGTGTTTCATAGCGATACGAAAGGAATATACGGAAAGAATATGAAAAGTGTCCCCCCCGTAAAGTGGGCTCCGACCCTTTTATCCGTCCCTTTATCTTAAAAACAATCTTTCAGAGACGGGACAAGAAAACCAGACATTCAAATCAAAACATTAAATAAGATTTCACAGAAAAGAACCACTTTTCTGCACACATTTGAAGTTTTAAAGTGTTGAAAGGTGAAAAAGTGATTTCATTGATCTTATGACTTTATGAACTATTTTGAAAATAATTTTTTGTGTTTCCATAAAAAATTCAGCATTTCAGAAACCAAGTCATTTATCAGTACGCTTATCATTTTTTTTTTTGGGTCAAGCAAGTTTTGAAATCGAACGATCGATCGATCGAGCCTCAGAGAAGCAGAAAATCGAAATTTCTTATCGAAATGTTTACTTCACAAATGAGGATTTCAAGGAAAATATTCGGTATTCTCTGTGCTTTCTCGATTGCAGCATGTATCACCAACATAGTGGCAACATTTTCGTCAGGTAAGTCAAAAGAAAAAAAATATTTATTTATTTATAGTAGTGTTACTGCTCCACAAAATTACCCTAAAGTCGCGAGTATAAATTCTGTTTGGTTTTCGCATGCAAATTGACGGCTGTCTCCGGTGCGGTGTGTCGAGGGTTCGAACCCCGCTGCAGCATAACTTTTTTGCTTTTTAAAAACAATAATAGAAGTAAATTTATTGAGGGTTATAGCAATTTTATGCTGTTATTTTTCTCCGGGCGTGGCTCGGCGCGTCCGCCCTGCTCCTCTCCGGTGCTCAGGCTTAGGCTTAGGCTTGGACTTAGGCTTAGGCTTAGGCTCGGCGCGTCCGCCCCGCTCCTCTCCGGTGCTCAGGCTCAGGCTAGCAGCAGGCAGGCTCGGCCTCCCCCGCCCTCTCCGGTGCTCAGGCTCAGGCTTAGCCTAGGCTTAGCTTAGGCTCGGCACCCTCTCTCTCCGGTCCAGGCCAGGCTAGGCTTAGCCGCCCCGCCCCGCTCCTCTCCGGTGCTCAGGCTCAGGCTTAGGCTTAGCCTAGGCTTAGGCTTAGGCTCGGCGCGTCCACCCTGCTCCTCTCCGGTGCTCAGGCTTAGGCTTAGGCTCAGGCTTAGGCTTAGGCTTAGGCTCGGCGCGTCCGGCCTGCTCCTCTCCGGTGCTCAGTCTTATGGATCCCTCCCTGGCCTCTTCATCCGGCCAAAGTCCACGTCGACGGTCGAAAGAGATGCTTTCCAGCGTCTTCTCCAACACTATCGTCTGGATGTATCCATGCACATAACAAATAGCAATGGTGATAGGCTGTCACCCTGTAGTATCCCGCGCTCCAAGAACAATAATAAAAGTTTATATAACAATAATAAAAGTTTATATAGCAATAAAAATGTATAAAAACCCAACAAAAAGGAATTCAAAGCAATTAAAGCGAATGTAAATTAAGGCAGAACTTATACTCGGATCGACTTATACTCGGGATCTTAGGGTATATGATATTATATGACAAAATTATATGACAAAATTAATAGATATACTACATATCTCACGTGTTTCAATGGCAAAAATCTAGTAAGGAAAATACGAAAAACTTTTTGCACTATCGTTTCTTAAGAGCATAAAATTGGTAAAAAAAGTAACTGTCCATACAATTTTGTGGAGCAGTGTAGGGTGGCCAAGAATTACCTCAACACACAAAAGGCCTGGCTTTTAACGAAATAATTAAATTCATCTCGAAATGTTAACTTAAATATCTTTATTCAACATATAAACAGTAACAAATTAACAATTAAATTCAAATTTGCCTCCATCGGCATTCAGACAGGCCTGCAAACGTTTGGGAAACGCGTTGCCCGTTGAAAAACGCACCGTGGCAAGCAAATAGGCATCATAAATAGGCAAACAGGGTATCCCATGCTTTGATGAGCGCCTTCTTCAAACTTTCGATATTTTTATATGGTTTTGCACATGCCCTGACTTCAAGAACACTCCAGACTGAGTAATCCAATGGGTGAAGATCGGGTAAGCTGGGTGGCCCACCCAGAAAACGAGATCAAGTCCGGGAAGGTCTTTGAACAAAACTCTTCTTTGCCTTCTTTGCTTCTCTGCACCTTCTTTGCCTTGTGAGCCGGCACACCATCTTGTTGATAAGTTCAAATTCGATTTTTGAAGTGGCGTTGAGCCCACAGAACAACCTCCTTCTTTAGCAAGGCCAAATAATCGACCGCATTTACTTTCACACCTTGAAAAACAAAGATCAACGGGGTCTTTCCATTGGCGGTTATCCTGGCAAAAACCATCACCGATGCAGGATTGAGAACTGCGCGATACGGTGACGTTTGGCTGAGATTCTGCCCAAACTCGATCATTTTCCTTGTTGAGAATTCCCTCGACGGTAAATATCTTTTCATCAGTGAACAGGATGTTTGTGGCGATCGATTCCATTGAGTCGTTGCAAAAGTTGGGCAACATCGGTCTTTTCGCTTGCCCTTCGCAGCAGCTGATAGTAATTGAGATTTGTTCTTCTTGTAGGCTTCATTTACAGCTTTTTCTTGATGATTGTGTTGACGGAGCTTCTCTTCAGACCCATTTTCTGTGCCATTCCTCGAGCCGATTGGTTAAGGTTTAATCTTAGACGATCGCGCACTTTCTTGACATTAGTAACCGTTGTTCGTTTTGCGGAGTAACCGCTGTTCGTTTTGCACCTCTTCCAGAGCGATCAGAAACTGTGCCCAGAGTTTCATAACGTTGAATGGTTCGAGAAATGAGGCTTCTGGCGACATTCTGGGGCTTCTGGGGACATTTAGGCGCTTTGAGATCTCGCTCGCCTGAACACGCTGCCGCTTGAGCTCAAGGATCGATTGTCGATGTGGAGACGCTTTCACCATTCCTGAAAACTAATGTACTAATGTACTAATGTACTAGTGTACTAGTGTACTAATGTATTAATACTAATGTATTGAAAGTTAGTAATCATACCATAAAATAAGAAAAATACACAAAAACCATAAAAATAGGTAAGCAAAAAGTGAAATGGAGCTCATAAAATAATACGACGTTGTTGCGGTAATTCTTGGCCACCCTGTATCACCCCTGTATACCTTTAATTCGTTTACGAATTTGCTTTATTAATAAATTAATAAGTAGGAAAGTAAAATCCCGAAATTCTCATTGCTTTCACACGCATTTTCTAGAGTGGCGAACGCTGACCTCGCGAAATGGTGACGTCTGGAAGAGTGGACTGTTCAAGTGGAACTGTCGAGCTCCACAACCCGCACCGCACGATTCGAATAAATGCGATAATTGGTGGCAGGTAAAATTTAGCTTTTTTTTTTTGCTGTTGAAGGGCTTGCTGCTGTCTTTTTAAACTCAAAGGAAAAGAAAAAGAAAAAAAAAATCTCTGAATCTAATTGAAATTTAGAATTTTCGATCTTAACAACGATTTGAACATAAATTTTCGAGTTTTAAGTAATTAATTAATTTAATTAGCTTTATTTATTATTTCTTTGCAATTCAAATTCCCAAAAACTGATCCCTAAAGCGATCTTGAGAAATAGCCGAAGATTTCTTTTTAGAATCAAAACGATTGGGAGGTCGTGGTTGTGATCAGCATGATTGTGGCCTTTGCATCGATGTGTTTGGGATTGGTGACAACGACTTTTCCGAGAGAGGTTTGAGAAAATTTCGGGAATACAAACTCTCACTCACTCTAAAACGGTTTTACGACCTTTTCCCGAAGAAATCCTTTTATTTTTTTCAAGTGCCTAAATTTGTTACTGTATAAAAAATAAAAGCTAGTTTTGAGCCGCTATTCATGAAAACTTTTGCATTTTCTATATAATGATTCCGGGTTTCGTTATAAAGTTTTCGTTATATATACCGTATTTTCTCTAATAGTAGTGCACGCTGAGCAAAATATTCTGTCTAACTGGTCCAAAATAACTTGGGAAACTTCAGAGAAATCCTGAATTCTTCAGATTCTTTAGATTCTTTAGATTCTTCAGATTCTTTAGATTCTTCAGATTCTTTAGATTCTTTAGATTCTTTAGATCCTTCAGAGAATTTCTCGGTTTAGTTACCCAAGCTTCGTTTTAACCACAGTCAGTCTATTGTAAGCAGTCTAAATGTAGCTAACGATGAGATCTTGTGGGGGATTTGAGTGTTCAGCTTTTGTGGAAACTTTGAAAGCTGTAAAGTAGTCACCAACTCGACTACTATTAGAGAAAAAGCAGTAAAAGCGAAAGACGCACAATTTGCCGTCTGACAGGGCAAAAATAGCAAAGTTGAAGCAGACGTTGGAGACGTCCAGACGTCCAGACGTCCAATACCATCCCGGTGCACTACTATTAGAGAAAATACGGTATATATAGAGAGAATTGATTGTTTTTGCTGAAGCACTCGTTTCTTCATCTCAACCTTTCAGAAATTCGTCTATTCGTTCTCTTTCTTCTCGATTTTATGGACAATTTTCTTGGGTATTTCCGTGATCGTCTACGGACTGAATAACAAGGAAATAACTTGTAAATTTTTTTGCAAATCTTTTAAAAAAAAATCAAAAGTTTCTTTTCTTATTGGGTTTTCGGGTTTATGAATGCGAGTTTATTGCCAAAAATTCTTTTTTTCCCAAAAGAACAAAGCTATTAAATCGTTAGTCCCGTTTGTACCATTAGAAAGATAAATCTGTGTTCTACATTAGGCTTTAGATTAGATTAGATTAGATTAGTTTAGCGTTTTTGAAAAGCTTCATTTTTGTCAATTTTTCCGGAATCCAAAGACAAGTAGTTAAAATCGTTAAAAAGCGTTTAATTGGCAACTTTTTCGATGGAAAATTAGGATTTTCTGCTCAAATGAAAGACCAAGCAGTTATACATTTTCAAAAATCAAATTTTCAGCCAAATCCATTGCCAATTCAGCCAAAGCCAAAGAAGAAAAAAACGGTTGCACAATCGTTTTTTTCTAAATCTTTCAAATTTGTTCGAAAATTTTCTCAAATCAGCAAAGATCCTTATTTTAATGCATTCTTTAGATAAAAATTCTGAAAAAACGGCTGAAACGAATTTAGCTGAAAATTTGCCGATATATGGCCGACATTTTGCCGACAGCTTCGTTATAACCACAGACAGTCTATCGTAAAGAAAAGCTACCGTGTTTTCTCTAATAGTAGTGCACCCAGAGCGTCGCCTAAATTCCTCGAAATCTCGAGAACCGTTTATCAGAACGCATCGATGTGGGGTCGGAAAATGTAGCTGACGATGAGATCTTGTGGGGGATTTGAGTGTTGAGCTTTTGTGGAAACTTTGAAAGCCGTAAAATAGTCGCCAACTCGGCTCGCCGGGGTGCACTACTATTAGAGAAAATACGGTAATAGCTTTGTTCCCTTGGAAAAAATAATTTTTGGCGAAAAACTCGCATTCAAAACCCGACAACCTAATATTATTCTTAAATTGCTGACAATTGCTGACTAAAACTATTCAGATCACTTTTACTTTGGAGAGGGAGTGACTGAGGGATATGGGATCGGATTCTGGCTTGCACTCATAGCATTTCTCCTGTCGATTGGCGTGACGATAACGATTCTTGTACTTCTACTTGATGTGCTTAAAGCAAGACCCCTTTTGAGAGCCATGTCTGCAGAGGAACTTCTAAAGAAACAAGGCTGGTCTCTGGTTCGAACTTCCGAAATGAATCTACCTCTCGCCCTAGGGGATGCTGTCTGCGAGGCTCTTCTTCATTTGGAACAAAAAAGGAATTCGGTAAAGACATTTTAAACCAGATCATTTATAAATCATTTAATTAAATGTTGTTTTAATAAGAATTTCGATGTAAAACACTAGAGTAAATCTCCGTTTTGAATCGGGAAAATCGGGAAAAAGTTTTTTGACGATTTTTAGACGGATTTTTTTGACGGAGATAACTCTATTAAAAACGATCGTACTCTTCTATTATAAGAGCCCAAATTATCATAAATGCAAATTTACTTTCATACTGTCATACCTCGAGATATAAAGTCGTTAAAGTTCGACCGGCTTTTGCAAGTTTTCCTTAAGAAAAAAAACCATAGAAGCCGTCCAACTTTGACACCGTTTTTCTCTATGTTCTTACACATGAGTATACAAGATAAATTGTACTTTTCTATAACCAAATTTAATGAGGATCATTTTAAAACCAACCACAAGTCGATCTGATCACTGGGAGTCGAGTTATAGAGTCAAATAAAAAAGTCCCCAAACCCCGAGACTCGTCACGGAATTTGGAAGTTCAACTTTGACACAAATTTTCTCTATGTACATGAGTACAGCACAAATACATGAGTACACAAAACAAATTGTACTTTTCTCTAGCCAAATTTAATGCGGATTCTTTTAAATGTAATTACGACCCAAAACGATTTTCAGCTTCCACTTTCAGACGAAAATTTTTACCAAATTTTTCATCAAAATTTTATTTTAGCACAATCGGCTTGAAAACATGAAGGCATCACAACAATTAGAAGACTATTTCCCCGCCGTTCACTCTTACAAGGAAGGAAACGCTGTCGAGGCTGACGAGTGAATGAAAAGTGTCGAAATTTTGTAATACTGTGTTTTTTTGTGTATTTTATTGTCGTGAATTTTTCGTGAAATAGCTACGTCTAAATAAAGCTACTCTTTTGCTAACTTCTCAACTTTCGTCACTTTCGAGTGAATTGTGAACATAGGAGCACTTTTTCTAGCTTTTCTAGCTTTTCTAGCTTTGCTCAACTTTTTCTAGCTTCGAGAGAAAGTCTCAGAAAATGCACTCGGCTCCTCGGAAAATGTCTCAGGGAAGTTACGGTTTCCCCCACCCTGAAGTGAAAAACAATGAATCTATAGATTTCTGCACAAGTTTATTGTTTTTTCTTTTCGAATCCTCAAAGTTTTCAGGTGAAACGCAGTGTACGGCTTATTTTTTTTTATGGAAAAAAGATGTCCATTGGGGTCATCGTGGAGAGCTCGAAATCGTTGAGTGGTCAACAAAAAAAATTCTTTCAGCAATTCATTAGAGAATCAAAATTTTGCTTCCTCAAATAGACCATCGTAAAGGTTTTTGTGCAAAATTGTAAACTTGAATAAATTGAATTTTTTCTAAATCAAATTTCTTGAAAAATGAAGTGGCTATTGTTAGCCAGTTGTGGCGTCAAGTTAAAGGTTATTGTTAGCCAGTTGTGGCATCAAGTTAAAGGCTAGTGTTAGCCAGTTGTGGCGTCAAGTTAAAGGCTATTGTTAGCCAGTGGTGGCGTCAAGAGAGTGGACTGTTTTATTACTCATTTATTTCATGGAAAAGAAAATGACAAAATAAACGAAAGGCTCACAAGGACTTATCACTAAAATGCGAATTTTAGTGATTTCTTTTTGTGTTTTGAAAGCATTTGAAAACCGAGTTTGAAAACCGAGTTTGAAAGCACAAATGAGAATTCAAATTTATGGAAAATGATTTTTCTGACAGAAACTCTTTTCTCTTTTTTTTTTGTTGGCTTCTGGCCGTGCAATTAGAACTTTATAACCCTTTTATATCTTTCAAATGATGTATTGTAACATTAGTGCCTTATATAGTTCTATTTTCGATGGCAAAAGATGCTTTGTAAACAAAGAAAAAATTGACTGCCAGGCGGTGACTTGATTACTCGATTTGTCTGTAAAATGTCACTGTAAAAACAATAAATGAAAGATGTTTAACCAAAAATGCAAATCTAAATGCTTTATCAACGTCATTTAAGATATGAAAATTGGGGTGAATCTTGGCACAATCAAAGGTTTTTTCGTCGTTTCGTTGTAATTCGTTTCTTGATGGTCGTTGAACGTTGAACGTTTCTTGTTGGCGATGATGGTCGTTGAACAAAAGGAAAGCTTCGAAGGAGAACCCTGAGATGAAACTATTCAATAGGTCATTTATTGTTTCAAACGTTTAGATGTTCAAACGTTTAAACGTTCAAAGTGAAGATTTATCACAAAATGCTATTTTTGATTTTCCATCAAGCGTTTCTATTTCCTCAATCCCCAAAGTTTCAATATTCAATCGCAATCACAATGTTTTCTATGACCCACAATGTTTTCTATGTTTCCTTGTCTTTGAGTTTTTTGAGGAAAAGGGAAAGATGGGAAAAGGAAGAGAGAATAAAGCAAATGGGAGAGTAGCTCCTTATCGGGCGCATGCGATTTGAAAAGACTCGAAAAGACTAGAAAAGCCCTTTATTACATTTTAAGCATAATCACTTTGTAAATATTAAAAAAAACTCAAGTGAAAAGAGCAAAAGGCACAGTTGGGAAGAGAGGGAAAGTGGAAGAGGTTGTGTGTGAGCCTTGCCCTGCAATCCAAAAGTTTGTCAACGAAATACGGAAATACGGAGAACATTCTAGATTCCCTTTCGCTTCTTTTCTTTAAAGATGTTATAACTTTTTGTAGTGTTGATCAAATTTTATGATTTTTGCATCAAAATGTTCGTAAGAGTCTCTAGAATAAAACTTATCCCCTCGTTTTTTGTTCTAGACCCTGATTGTCGAGTTACGAGCTCCAAACTGCAGGGTACCACAAAAAACTGCTAAAACTCAATTTAAAAAATTTCTGTCAGAGGGATTTGGAAAATTCCTTCAGATTCGGAATCAGCACAATTTTCCGCATCTAAAAAAGGTACTCCCAGAAAAATCCTATAGAAAACGCATTTTTCGCGCCGATGTGGGGGGGGGGGCACATTCTGGATTACGGCACCATGTGGGCACATTCTGGATACAGCGCTGACGCGAAGCGCCGTATCGAGAATGTAGCCTTGCCCTTCGGCACCATTTAAACCATTTGGTACCCTTCGGCACCATTAAAATGCAAATTTTGGTTTGGTGCAAATACTTTGGTACCAAGGTTTAGCCCTAGGAGGTTGGTGCCAAACTCTAACTATGGGGGAGGTTAGTACCAAGGTACTTTGGTACCTTTTGGAATGAAGCTTATGCGTGAGTTATTTGAAAATATACTTGCTTCTCAAAATACGCACAAATACAGGAATTTCAAGATTATCTCAAGACACTTCTTTTATGCTTCTTTAAGTAAGCCAACAAGTATGATTTCTTTTAGTTCAATAAAAATTATCTTTAGCTTCTCGCTTTACTCATATATTTGGGATTCATTACATCATTACATAAAAAAAAGGTGATTCACTTCATTTTCTTTTCCTCAACTTTCTTTTCCTTTCACAGCTCTTTTCCATCCCTTATCTTTCTGAGCTTTTTCCGAGTTGTTTGCAAAATCGGGATGGCAAACCACTTTGCATTTGCAACTTTAGTTTAATAACTCTTAAGGCTTTTTGCTTCTTGATTTGATTTAAGTTGCACAGGTGACAGGTGACAGGGAATGCATAAATGGAAAGGAATTAAAGGATTGGTAGATGTTTTCTAGAAGAAAGGCCCAGTTTTTCTTCTTTTAATAAAGTAATTTTAGGTTTTTCTAAAATCTTTTAATTCTATAAACACTTTCAACTCAGATTAGACAATATTAATCAGCGAAAATTACAAGGAAATCTAAAGCCGACAAAAAGAAACAAATTTCTGCCAAGGATCTGTGTAATAGTTAGATTTTGAGCACCAACCTTGAACACATTCTCTTCCATCTTTCACCAGATCTTTATCATCTTTGTTTTCATCATTTTTCTGCTCCAAAGTTTCTTCTAAAAAGATGCTACATTAAATATTTTACAGAATCAACGAGCCTGAAGCAAATCAACGAAAAAGAGGAAGGATTGGTCGAATGAAGTACTCAAAATGTTGAGAAGACTATGTTGATGCGTTGGGTATGTTCTTTAAAACAAATAAGTAAGATATGCTTGTATTTGAACGCTCTATGAGCTACTTTATGTATTACAAAATGAAGAACTTTCTTTCCAGCCTAATAGAATGACAAACATCCGCGCGAAATAAGGCCAAAAAAGCGTTTTCTGGGGAATTTTGACGTGTGATACGTGATTCAAGAAGGCCATCGAAGGTCATTTGGGCCTCCTACCCAGCCACCCATCTCGATCTCTTCGATGGACTCGTTAATTAGGTTTATAGCTAATAACTAGAAAAGTTATAATTTCCCGTAAATGCTGTATTAGAGTGACATTTCATTCTATTTTCCAACTCCTCAACATCGACCGCTCCGAAAAATAGATAAGGGGGACTGTGTTTTTTGTGAAGGGGATGGGAAGGGGAGAAGGAAGATAAGGGGGACCACATGAATGTGCTTTTTAAAAATTTAAAATCAGATTCGTTAAAAACTATTTTAAACGATGATTGTTGTCCCAAATGTACAAAAAACACGCTTAAAAGTTAAATTATCTTCTTACCCGCGATTCCCTTTGAATCGCCAAAAAAAAAAATCCATGTGGGCGACCCTTAGATTTTTCTATTTTTTTCAAAAACACCGTTTTAAATTTTACTGCCGACAAAATTTTAATAGGTTTTAGGTCTAGATCTATCCATAGAACCCCCACAAGCGACTCTAAAGTCAAGATTTCCAGGGGTCAACGGGTGTCACACATCCGCGCGAAAATACGTTTTCTGGGGAATTTTGACGTGTGATACGTGATTCAACTCAAAAAAATTGCGCTGATCACGAATATGAAGTTTATTTTTAAATCCTATCTACAGATTTTTATAAAATCAAGGTTTTCAAGGGAAAATCAAGGAAAAATTAACACAGGCACTTTTACATTTCTTGTTAAAAAGGGCAGAAAAAAGCAAACGCAAAAAAACGAGTCGAAATTTATTAAAATTTAATCTCTTTTTAAAGGAGCTTTAAAGGAGCTTTAGAGGAGCTAAATAGGAGCTTTAGAGGAGCTTTAGAGGAGCTTTAAAGGAGCTTTAAAGGAGCTTTAAAGGAGCTTTAAAGGAGCTTTAAAGGAGCTTTAAAGGAGCTTTAGAGGAGCTTTAGAGGAGCTTTAAAGGAGCTTTAAAGGAGCTTTAAAGGAACTATAAAGGAGCTTTAAAGGAGCTTTAAAGGAGCTTTAAAGGAGCTTTAAAGGAGCTTTAGAGGAGCTTTAGAGGAGCTAAATAGGAACAACGTGGGCGTTGCCGAACTAGAGGGTAAGAACGCTTTTGAGCAAGTGGATGTTTTTTTTTCATTGAGTTGCATCATAATCTTAACATCCGACTATTACAGCTTTAAAGTTTAAAAGACAACTTTAAACTATTCTTTATTAAAATCTTAGTCCTATTCGAACGATCCCCAACGCTTTTTGAGCAACAAGCGCCCACGTTTGCCCGTCTTTCTGCCCTTGGAAGAGGTAAATCCTACAAATATCCGAATCCTACAATCCTAGGTTAGTAAAATAATAAATTTTAGCTACAATCAATTTTTAATATTAAAAGATACTACAAAGATGTACAATCTTTTTGTTTTGTGACTCAATTAGTCAGAATTTCCTTAAAAATTAATCTTTTTAAGATTCTGTGCACTGAGGATCTAGCCACGCATGATATCGACATTCCCGACATTCCCGATTTTGTTGTGCCTCAACAAGCTGAGGCTTCTACTGTTCCTCAGGATGACTTCGTCATCCCCGATGTTCCTGACTTCTATGTCAACAATGGAGCCATTCCGGAGAACCCTGGCAACGATCTTTAAACAAATACATTGCTCATTTATCCCATTCGATGACATCTCGTGCTTTATCATTGACTCCTCTTCTGAATCTCAACCGTTTGCTCAATGAGTTTCTCTCTGTACAAACGGGATTCCTTTCTTGTCCTCATTTGTAAATGTAAATAAATTATTCGCTCTTGACGTCACTCTTTGATCAAAAGGTTCTCCATGATGTTGTGTTTCCATGTGGCATTTTTGTGACATCAATATATCCATGCTTTAGATGACACGCCGAATGAGTTTGAATTATGAGTTGATTCATAAGCAACGAGACATTCAAATGGATGTCAATGGGCAAGAAGAGGAGCAGGTAGAGTGGAAAAGGGACTAAAAAGCAAAAGCTGATGCTCATGAAAGTCTTGCCATTGAGATTGATGTAAAATAGCTCTTTTAAAACGTTTTCGAATAGAATTTGAGATACCGTATCCTCTCTAATAGTAGTGCACCCTGAGAGTCGCCTAAATTGCCCGAAATCTCGAAAGCCGCTTATCAGAACCTATCGATGTGGGGTCGGAAAATGTAGCTGACGATGAGATCTAGTGGGGGATTAAAGTGTTGAGCTTCTGCGAAAGCTTGGAAACCGTAAAATAGTCACCAACTCGGCTCGCCGGAGTGCGCTACTATTAGAGAAAATACGGTTGATTTGAGCGTTGGCTTTTGATGATAAAGATTGAAACTTTTTGGGGGTTAAAATCATCATTGAAGAAATTGAGTTTCAGGCGCCCATGCCAGACGAAGCAGCGCTTCTGCGAGCGTTAGCGCTCATCGTTTTGGTGTTTCCGCATCACTTCGATGGTATTTGAAAATACATCTTTTTAAGAAGCATTGAAACTTTTAGAAGCGTTGCCTGATGAGGAGCGAGGCATTCAAATGGATGTCAATAGGCAAGAGGAGGAGCAGGTAGAGTGGGAAAGTGAAATGAAAGTCTTGTCATTGAGATTGATGTAAAATAGCTCTTTTAAAACGTCTTCGAATAGAATTTGAGATACCGTATCCTCTCTAATAGTAGTGCACCTCTAAATTGCTCGAAACCTCGAAAACCGATTATCAGAACCTATCGATGTGGGATCGGAAAATGTAGCTGGCGATGAGATCTAGTGGCGGATTTGAGTGTTGAGCTTTTCCGAGAACTTGGGAAACCGTAAAATAGTCACCAACTCGGCTCGCCGGAGTGCGCTACTATTAGAGAAAATACGGTTGATTTGAGCGTTGGCTTTTGATGATAAAGATTGAAACTTTTTGGGGGTTAAAATCATCATTGAAGACATTGAGTTTTAGGCGCTCGATAATTCATTTATGAATGTGGCACCATTCATGAGACTTGTGGGGTTGATTGAGCCTATGACGCCATTTGAGGATCTCGCCGACTGCTTGGAAATGTTCCAGGTGAATTCAGAAACCCTTCTCGACAATTGTCAAATTTAGGAACCGATTAACGATTCTGATTGGAAGCATCTCTCACTTTCATCTCTTCGCGATCATCTGGTGTGTCTTTTATAAGGCTAATGTTGTGATTTGTTGATTCAAATCTTGATACAAATTCATTGATACAAAGCAGGGAGCTGCTCTTGTAACAATCAATTCGTATTTTGGCCGTATTTAATGATAGATTTCGTTTCTTTTTAGGAGTCGACACCCCCAATCGAGATCATCCGGCCCGAAGTGTCATGCTTCGGTTCAGTTGGTAAGCGAGCTGATCGAGTTTTTAGTGATCAATCAGAATATTTATTCTCCATTTCGATCATATTTGATCTTTTCTTTTACATCAAATCCTTTTTCAGCCAGCAGTGGCCTGGGAACTGCGAATAATTCATTCGCTTCTGTGGTCGATCAACCGTCCACTACGGACGGTGACAGTGACTTCGAGGAATTCGAAATCGAAGATGTCTTCTAATCGTTTCTCGTCGTTTTCTTCTTCTTATGCACTTCATTGTTAATTTTATACATGGGTACTTATGGGTTGCCAAGTGTATCAGGCTAGAATTTGTCATTTGAAATGTTTGTTAATGGTTAATTATAAAATTTTCTATATTGTTAGAAATTAGAAAAGAATGAAAAATGCCAGTGAAGAGAGAGAAGGGATTTAAAAGGGAAGAGATTCGAGGAAGAGATTTGCAATCACTTTTTATACCCTTCAATAGATTTCAATAGACAGTGGTTCGTAGACAAAAAAGTTTAGGTGGTATTTGGTGACTTTTTAAAAAACTTTAACAAAAAATGAAATCTCAAACTTACTCAAACTTGACTCTTTTCCTTCGTTAACTATTTATTGAAGAGTTCTTGAGCTTCAAAAAATAAAATTCAGACAGTAAAGGCGGATCCAAGTTCTTCTTTTGAATTTCCATTCAAGTTCATTCCCTGGAAAATGAAATTTCATTTTTTGGTACAAAAAAAAAAGTAAAATTTGATAACGGAACAGGATTACTGGTGCTCAAAAGAAGGACTTGCAAAAAAAATGAAATTAATAATGAGATAGGCGGAGGGGCGGAGCGTTTGGGCATGCTAAATGACAGCCTTTATGAGCTTTGTGAATACGAGTGATAAGGGGAAATTATTTTTTCTGAAAAATGGCAAGATTGATAGAAAGAAAATTAGTTAAATAAAAGACTCTTGTAGAGAATTTTCGAAATGAGACACTCAACAAACAAAGTTTAAGCCTAAAACTTCTTTCTTCACCAGCCGAGCCCCTTTTATTTGCTTTTTCATGACCGAAATTTGATAGGTGAAAGAGCACTTTGAAGTTCTCTTCTTATTTTTCATAAATTCTTACAGTTGACAGCTAAGCTTTCTTTCTGGCAGCTAAGCTTCCTTTCTGACAGCTAAACTTTTGAATTTTTCAACGAGCGTATGCCCAGCTTTGGTTTATGGCTTTCAACACTGTCGAAAATTTGCGATAAGACTCGCCGTTTTCAGCAACGAAAAGCTTTTGCAGAATATTATACAATCGATTTCTATCAAAAATTCAAATATCAAATTATTACCGTAAATACTGTAATAGTACCGCACTCCCATAATGATGGTGCGGAGTGTTGTGTAGTCTAGCTTTGAACGAGATTTTCTCGGCACTGATTTATGCTACAATGCGCGCTTAGGTATCAAAAAATAGCCCTGAATTTCAGCTATTTTTTTGATCCCAAAGACGCATTTTTTGAAAGTACGGGCACTTTGAAAAAAATGAAATACTAAAAAACTTTTGCGACTACGCGACTGTACGAGGGGGGCGGGGTACTATTACAGCATTTACGGTAGGTTGTAATTGCTAATGACCATGCAAGCTGACCTGGTCGACAAACTAGTCTTAATGTTAGACCATCCTCGATGATAAGCTTAAAGCGGGTCGCACCCCAAACTATATTATCCATATTTCGACGAGACTTCAGGCGAACGAGAAGGTGATGGAAATGTTAAGTTTCAAATTTGGCACCTATTTTCAGACAAACTACCGTAATCCATCCGCAATTTTTCATTCGATCAGTCTAATTTTGGTCTTATTGGCTGAGTTTTGTGCTTCCTCGCCGAATGATACCAAAATTGGGTTGATCAAAAGGAAAACTGGTGGCTGGAAGTACAGTAGTTTGTCTAAAATGTCGAAATTAAGTGCTTTTTCAAAAAGAAAAGCACTTAATTTCGTGTTTTTGAAATGCTTTTGTATCAAATTCACTCAATTTTATTAGTAAAACTTTGAAAGCCGTAAAATAGTCATCAACTCGGCTCGAAGGGATGCACTACTATTAAACGGTCAACAAAAATGTGCTCGAATTGGCTCGCCTTCTCTACGATAATGGACTTCTGATGGTTAAAGAATGAGGAAATCGTTTACTTATTCATTTTGTTTTATTCTGGTTAGCCTTTCTTGAAATAGTTGTTATGTTTGTTGTTGTTTTGTTGTTGTTTTGTTGTTGTTTTGTTGTTGTTTTGTTGTTGTTTTGTTGCGGTTGATGTTACGCTTATTTTCTATAAAATCGATGGTATAATGGAAATTTTTAATCATTTTTTTCATAACTACCATTTCAAAATGACGGTTCCTTAAGTTTTTAATATCAAAGGCTATTTGCAATCCGTTTTCCACCAATCGCTCACCGCCGTATCGTAGTAGTGCGTGTGGTCCTGGAAATGGGTAAATCTGAATTGTTTGATTGCTAAAATTGCAATAATCCCACTAAAATACTCACATCGAATTGCCACATGATCTTGCTGTTCGCGCATTGACCGATCAAATCCCCATAGGGGCAAATTGTGTAGTTGGCGGTAGTCATCGCATTGTCGTACCTGGGAAAGGCTTTTGGTCAACAAATTTGATATTTGATCGCGGTTTTGGTATCACAAATCGTACTCTCACAAAAAGCTGGTCTCAAAATTTCAATTCTCCTATTGATAGTAGTCACTCTAGATAGTCCTCTTCATCCTTCTTTCTTCTTCTTTTCAATGCCCGCTCTTGCTCACCAAATTTCGAAACGATGATGCATCAGATCGACTTCTTGTGGCGGGATGTGAGGAATTGGATCGAGGTGGTGGACCACACGGTAGGAGAAGGGAATCTGGGAAGTGGAAAGGATTGAAAAAATTCTTGATTTGACTCACATTAGCGTCATGCCACTCCGCGTATCTCACATCGCCTGTCCTCGGCTGCCCGAATGTCATCATTTTTATCTAGAAAATTGAATTCTCCACAAATTCTCCACACTTGACTTTTCCCCGCGATTCTCTCACCTTTTCCGGTTCGAAAAGCCCCTGTTTGACGAGATACGCCGCACAAAGAGACGCCAACGATCCGCCAAGTGAATGCCCGACGATCTAGAAGATTTTTTTGGAAAAGAAAACGATTTTCGGTGATCCTGGAACGCACAGCACTCTTGGACATAGTTTCTGTTTGGAAAAATCGGCTTTTAAGAGTCAGCACGGTCACCCCCGAAATTGTTCAAGCTCAAATTTAACCAAAATTTGCATCTCTACGTGCAATCGGCTAGCGGAAACGCCAAATTGGAACTCACTTTAGAAAATGGGCTTAAAAAGTGAGCAGGATATGATTGACGGAAATTTGGGATACGGTAACGTATCCACTGTTTAAGGTGAAAGTCGAATTCGGAGAAATCCGACCAAATTAGCTATCGTATCCCCGAAATTGGAGTGCATTTTAGAAAAGTGCGCCCAAGAAAGCACTCACATAGACGTCGTACGTTGGGTAGACTTTTCTCAGCGTCATCACTTGCGCCTCCAAGCCGGCGCGCCACAAAAAGAAGAACCCATTGAAGAAATAGTCATAAATTAGGCCGATATTCAAAAAGTTGTCTTTTTTCCTGAAATCTGGATGTCATTCAATAGGTTGGCAGTCATAGTTAGTGGAAATGAAATTTTAAAAAAAACATTTTTCATAAAATCTTACCAAACAAATTTTCAGGTTTTTTTTGAAAAATCAAAAATTTTAAATAATTTTTCAGGCTATCTGGAACGCATACTTTATGTAAAAAACTTTAAATTTAAACTTTTTAATATTTAAAAATTTTTTTACTTTAGCATCCCCAATATTTCGGCGACTGTCTCAAAGTTTCCGCTTGTGCCGCGAAAAGCGATCATTATCGCTTTTCGGCTGAGATCGAAAGCCGTATACGAATAACAGAAATCACCTGAAGAACTTTTTAAAGTAATTTCAATGAAATAAAGACTTTTATTGTAGTGATCACATGCGACGAGGGTACTGTTGTAGAAATAAGTTGTGGAGAGCTGATTTCTTCAAAAAAAGGATTATCTTTTGATTAACAATGTGAGACTTGTAAAGGAAACAAACTCTGTACCAGACTTGTTTAAAAACTCACTTCAAACATGGCTGCGGATTAGGGGAATACGTTGCCGCCAACAATGGAAGTGCCATCTTTCTCCCAAACGTGTCATCGAAGGGAAAATTCGCGTTTGGAGATCGCGGGCAATTGTAGGAATCGTTCTAGGAAAGGAGGAGAGGATTTCAGGGAAATTTCGATTCGATTGTAATTAGAAATCGATTGATAAACCTGTAGAAAGATTTCACTCTTGCAGTCAGCCTCTTTCGAGCATTTCGCGTCAACGAGACACCAACTAGAAATTTTTGCTGATTTGAAAAATGTAAAAACTTTTGACGAATTTTTGTTTTGTCCAATCCGTCCTTTCATTTCATCTTTCTTTTCCAAAACAAATTCCCCATTTCCTTAATTTCCCATTTCCTCAATCACTCACCCACAACCATCAGTTGCTGCTGCACAACTCTCGCAATTCGAATAGCCACAATCACTCAAACAGCCACCGATGAGTCCGAAAATGAGGAAAAAAGGCAAATTGTGTGCCAGCATTTGAATAACAAGCGATAAAATTGTTGAAAAAGCACAGAAAATCAATCTATTTGCTCAGTTAACAATAAGTGCGAAAGTGTGAGCTTTGTTATCAAAAGAATCAACAAAAGCCGATTAAATTTTGCCGTGATTTTCAAAGAAGTGTTTAAGGAAAAATCTTTGGCAAAAGAATAGTTTTACAATGACTAAACTATCGGTAAATAAGCAAGTCAATGAGACCGTCTTCCGAACCATCAGTAGCCACCGTGATAATCGCACGCTTCTTAAATGAGAGCATCATGAGGTTCTTCGGGAGTTTCTTTCACGCATTCCAAACCCATTCTAGATAGGTTTCCATTGGTGGAGCCGGATTTTCATTGTGAGTCTTCATCCCATTCAGCTTGCCATATAGTTAAAGAAAAAAAGACACAATTTAAAGCAACACAAAAACCTCTGGAAACAATCACACAAGAAAACTCTCGGCAAAAAAGGAAATGACCCTTGTTACGAGAATAATTGTCAGCAAATAAAAGTAGGTTAAAGGAAAAAAAGGTTAACAATATGAAGACTTTGGCATACAAGAACGTGTGTA